TTTTTTTTTGTTTTAGAATGATTGCATCTAGACGTTAATTATTAATGAAGTAAATCTTAGTTATATTTTTCATACATACAATATTCAAAGCAATTATTGACCTTGCATTTAAATCAACAGATAAAAAGTAATTTATCTATATTTTACGACATATTTATCCGATATGCTAAACTCAATTGCCATCTAAAGTATTTCAATATACTTACACATCTGTTTTCAATCGTATAGAAAAACATATTATAGATTCTCGAGACTATATCAATAAAGATATATATATATATATATGTAAGTTACTTAGTAAATCTTTTGTAAAGTAATTCTCCTCCAATATGAAGAGTACTCTTATTTATTATGATTGTAATGTAAATTCTTGCAAGGATAAATATTGTTTGTCTGCAATAATATAACATCAATCTCTTGAATATATCATGGAGTCTATTGAAAAAAAAATGAATAATGAAGAATAAATAACATTTGTATGATTGTTCTTATGCAGATACATTTGCATTAGAAAGAGCAAGACATTTAACAAATGACTTATCATCAATAGGATAAATAAGAAAAAAAAAAGATTTTTATTATTATTCCGAACATATAGAGTTTCTACAGAATATCTAGATTATTTATCATAAGAAAACGAAGGTCATATCGGTAGGTTTATTGCTAATAAGTAGTTAACCTTTTTTTTATTACTAATATGAGAAGATTTATATAAGTAAAATGACTCACTCGAAGTAGTTCGATTTTCACATAATTTCCTCTTCACAAGTGTTCGTTGCTATTTATTTCCTCAAAGAAAACGTTTTTTTTTTCTTTGCTCAATAATCACATTTGGCATTGAATGCGAACTAAGTCTATTCAAAAGAAAAAATCGAATCGAGACAACTACATTAAGGATTCTTTCGTATACTTTTGTATGAATCAATAATCAAATATTTCTATGTAAAAAAAAACTATGGAGTTATAATCGATATTCAATAAGAATCTAGAATGATGACAATTTTTATTATAAAATCAATTATGTCATAGAGTAAACGCCTAGTTAAATGTTTATTTTTATTCATTGTCGGTATTTTTACTGACGATAGAATATGAATACCTTTTTTTTCCTTCTTATTTGACAAAACATGTTATAAATAAAATGGAAAAAGGGCAATCTTTTTTTTCTTCAAGAATGAAAGAGGAAGGAAAAAGAATTTGATATATATATATTTCTTGTTTTTAGAATGGCATTCATTATGACTTGCGTACGACAAAGTTAAAATGCGTTAAGCTTGTTTTTTTACAGTTCACATGCAGCACGCAATTGATTATCGATCTTCATGTCTCAACATAGGCGTACTGTCTTTCTATGTGTATGTACAATTGTTTTCGTTCAAGCAATTTATTATATTGTTACATTACAAGTAAAAAAAACTCAACCATCTATTAAAGATCCTTTAGCATTATTTATATCAACACCTGCAAATTTTCAACTGTCAGATAAACATAATAATTCCGTCCAAAAATTACAAGAAAATATTAATATTTCAAACTTATCACAGGTGAGTTAACATCAAGTTCTGTAAAAAATATTTAACAGCGGGAAGAGAAAAAAAAGCGTTTTTAACATATTACTGCAATTCATCATTTTTTGTTTATTAACAGAACAAGAAGAAAAAATTACTTAGCATATTTTCCTAGTCAACAAAAATATAAAAATAAATTTTATTTAGATTAATATTACCCATGAACAAAAATCAACAAATATATCACGTAATTTAACATCAATAATCTCAATAACGAATGCCACTACCACCGTTACTACTACCACTACTGTTAGTACTACATCAACAACAACAGGTGTCCCGTTTTCAAATGCTTCGTTATATGCATATTTTAATTTTTCGAAAATCGATGTAAATGTTAATAGTTCACTACCAATTTGTAATTTTTCGATAACAAATAATAATACATCAATATATAAAGTTAATATAAGTCAAACAATTTATTCATATGATATTATTGAACAACACCATGGAACGAATTTATATTCAGGTGGACATTATATTCCAAAAGACTGTCGACCAGAACAACGTTTAGCTCTTATTATATGTTATCGAAATCGTGAACTGCACTTAAAAATGTTTCTAGATAGTATTCATCCATTTTTACAAAAACAACAACTTGATTATACAGTTTTTATTGTTAATCAACATGGAAAAGATCAATTTAATCGTGCTGCTTTATTTAATGTTGGTTATTTAGAAGCTATGAAATTATATCCATATGATTGTTTTATTTTTCATGATGTTGATCTTTTACCAGAAGATTTAAGAAATATATATAAATGTGGTGATCAACCAAGACATATGTAAGTAAATAAAACATTTTCTAATTATTTCTATTGATTGAGTATATCTTTTGTTAGATCGTTTTATTTCCACATTGTTAAATATAATAAAAGATATATCATTTCGCTTGAATCAAATTGTGTAAGAGTCTTGGTTTTAATCGATAATGTCTATGAATGTTTTCCAACTGAACTAGATTTTATCGTTTGAGAACAACTGAAAATCTTTACTGAACAAAATAAAAAAAGAGGATCAGACAGTACTAATCTATATTGATGTTGGTTTTAGTTGGAGTTAAGCCAAAACACACAGATAGATGTCGGCCTTTATTTAGAACAAAGATCAATATTAAATGGAGTAATAATAGATAAGAGTATTAATGACTGAAAACTATGATGTTCAAAGAACATTTATTAAAGATCATCTACTTTATTAGAAGCTGTCATATTCATTCTTATCTATATGCTAGCTCTCTGTATATAAAAAGAATAACTACTAACAGAATGCAGATAGAAAAGAATCTTATAGCTTTAGAACGGAAAGTCATAGACATTCGTGGTTTTTACTATTCAAAAGAGGACAGTTGTGGGCACATACCTATGCGTAAAAATGGTTATTCAAAGTAGTATAGATGGTCATTTTAAAAAGACACTTATTGCAAATTTGTCTACTAAAATCGTAAGATTTTCTTCCACCAACCTTCTTTGAAAAGTACGATAATAGCGTAAGAGCTCTTGATAAAGTGCGCATCATTCAAAAATGTTCTTAGAATTTAATCTTGACTTTTCCAGTTTCATTTTTGACTAACAAAATTTTTCCCTAATGGTACTCGTAATAGAAATAAGAAAAGACTCGTTTAGAAAAATATTGTAATTCCAACAAATTTATATTCTTATAAATAATCGATTTTAATATAAAGAATAAAAGATGAAAATGAAAAGATAAATTTACTGACGATATGTATGTGGTTCTATTTCTGACCTAAAATATTTCATAAGAATTTACATTCTACATAATACATTTTGATCTATATCGTAAGAATACTGCATTTGCGTTGAATTCCTACGCATTATTTTTTGCAAAATATCTTACGACATCTATTTTCAAGGATTTTTTATGGATTACACAAAAAAATTTCGAAATATTTTTTTCCTTTGATGTACCCATATTCATTCATTTTAACTGTCGTTATCATGTATAAATTGATATAAATTCTATATTACTTTTCAGGTCAGTCGCTGTTGATAAATTCAATTATAAATTACTTTATTCAACATTATTTGGTGGTGTAACAGCATTTCGTTTATCAGATCTTCTTGGTGCAAATGGTTATCCAACCGTTTACTGGGGTTGGGGTGGTGAAGACGATGATATGTATTTACGTGTTGTTAAAAAACTAAAAAAATCTATTACACGTTATCCAATGGAAATTGCACGTTATAAAATGATTCGTACACATGATCATACATCGGGTAAAGCTAATCCTCATCGTCATACAATATTATACTCAAAATATGATTATAATCTCGATGGTATAAGTACAACAAATTATACACTACATAATGTATTTTTTTATAAATTATTTACGCTAATTAATGTCACATTAACCGAAGAACCATTCGAAAAAATTCGTGCTCGTTTACGTATAAAAAAAAAGAAAAAATAGAATGTTTTTTTGTTGAGAGTTCATTTATTTCAAAATATTGTCTGTGATGAAATTTCAACGATGGCAAGGAATATATTCAATGTTTGTGTGATTTTGCTGAACAAAAAAAAAGTTCTCGAATGATTTGTTTTTAAATTTTATGTAACTTATTAATGAATGAGCTTGATATACAATTTTTGTGTTTTTTAATTTTCATTCTTTCGAAATCTTCTCGTCAGTTGATAAAAATATATTCAAACAAATAAATATTCTTTTCAGATTTTTACATAAATATTCAAACATGTCGTATATGTTACCGCATTTACATAATGGCTGGCAAGTTGATCAAGCCATTTTATCTGAAGAAGATAAAGTTGTTGTTATTCGTTTTGGACACGATTGGGATCCAACATGTATGAAAATGGATGAAGTTCTATATAAAGTTGCTGAAAAAATTAAAAATTTTACAGTTATCTATCTGGTTGACATTACAGAAACACCAGATTTTAATAAAATGTAAGCTATATATTCTTCCATACTTTATATTTATCAATATATATATTCAGATCATACCGATCAGTGGATTAAATCATAGCAGTATTCTTATTGGAACATTTCTTAACAAAATAGAATTTGAATAAAAGATGCTGGTAGGTTCGGATAATAGAGCGAGAACAATCTTGAAAAAATAAGTATTCTGTTTTGATAGATACGGAAATCTATTACTATGAGAATTTAGGGAACTGCAAAATCACGTTTTTTGGTCCCGGTCCCGCTGGTCCCGATCTTGACAAAAGCTTAAGAATAATTCTGGTGTTGTCTTCATCTATGAAAAAAAAATATGAAGTTTACGAAAATTCTCGCTTTTTCGATTGTAAATTCAATCTATACGGTTTTTCTTGAACTATAAAATAACACATTTGTCAATTCTTAATTAAAAAAAATAGAAAATGTCTGGTCTCATACTTGGTAAAAACATTGAGGAATAAGGTGACAATTTTAGTCTTGGTCCCGAGACCGGGACCACTTTGCAGTTCCCTAATGAGAATCTTTAGATTCAAACCAGCATCACATTCTATCTAGTTCTTATATATAAATTCAATAGTCGATAGAAATTTCGAAAGATAAATTAAAAGGGTACGTCGGTTCCAAAAAAATGAAACCGAACCGGAACCGCTCTTTTCCCATTTCCACTGATCGGAGTTTGACCGGAGGCACGGTTCCGGTTCCGAGTAATTTTTGGAGCCGAAGCTTTTAGAATCATAAATGTAGAAACTTTGAAATTTATTGACATGTACTTAATTAAATTATTTTCCTTTAGGTATGAATTATATGATCCATGTACGGTTATGTTCTTCTATCGTAATAAACATATTATGATCGATCTTGGTACTGGTAACAATAATAAAATAAGTTGGGCTTTAGAAGATACTCAAGAATTTATTGATATTGTCGAAACTATTTATCGTGGTGCTCGTAAAGGTCGTGGTTTAGTTATTTCACCAAAAGATTATTCTACTAAATATCGCTACTAAACACATACATATTTGTGTCTATCATATGTTTTTTCTTGTAATAAAATAAAGTTCATTTTTTGTCGTCTCATTATATTCAGTCTCATAATTTCATTTAAATAAATTATGGATTTGAAGAAAAAAAAAACTCGACACAAACTGCTCTTGTAGATATGATAACAGATCAAATAATGGTAACAAATGCTTATCGATTATTTCTCAATCGATTATGTCAATCTTGTCCATTGAAAACTCAGTGTGCTCTATTTAACAAATTTGCTGAAGATCAGGTGGAAATTAAAATAATAATAAAACTGAAAGGATTGTATTATTGAATAGTTTTCTTTTTTTAATTTTTGCTTATAGGAAAGAATATCACTTGAATCAACTCCATTAAATCATTCCGATATACAAACAATAGATAATAATTTAAATGTTTCATCTCTTCAACATTGTTTTTTATGTATTGATATTTTACATCGTTATACTTCTGATGAATTTATGCAACAAGTAATAAAAGATTTGTTTTTTAAATTATTCTATTCAATTCTTTTTTTTTGCTTTTATTAAAGATTAAACAAACTGCTCAAACAGCAACAAGTGATTTTCAATCATTTTGTGTTAATCTTTCTTTACCATTGAATTTACTTATTCGTCATGTAAACAAAGAAATTAATTTCGATATTATCAAATGATTATATATATATTCTAGGCATATTTAACGAAATTTTTAACGAAATTTGTTGGCGAATGTAATGAAAAAGATCTACCGATAATTAAAGATCAATGGAGAAATTTAATGATTGATCGATTAGAAGAAGTTCTTCATCGACCTTATCAAATAGACGTATATTCAAATAAATAATATTTTTTTAATATATTTTATTTTGTTTTGTTCAGAGTCCGTTTGAAATTAATATAACATTTGATTTTAGTGGTGAAAAGGAAGAACTTGAAAGTTTGTAAGTTTTCATTAGCAAAAATTTCAATAATATGAAATAATAAATATTATTTTTTAGACGAAGATTTCGTTATGCAGATAATCCAAAATTAGCAGTAAGATATCGTTTACTTAGATTGTATGACCATTGATTATTTTTCTCATCACTACCAATAAGAATACCATTACTTGTACAATAGAGATTTTTTTGATAGCGAAGTTGATCTAATGTTGTTAAAATTGTCCATTGATTTGTATGAATATTGTATCTAGAATACATGAAGTAACGAGTTCAGAAAGTAGAAGCTAAAAAATATGATAAAATTTATATTTCATAAACGATGAATATAATTTTAGAAATCAAATGCGAATGAAGGATTTACTCGTCAAGCAGTAACTACAATTCTTAACGATCTTACATTCGAAGATTTTGAACAGTAAATATATTTCATCTAAATAATATTTTCGAAATAAAAATTAACTTTAGATATTATAAACCAGCTATTAACGGAAAAACAACATATACAATTTCTGCTCTACATGATTCAGTCTATGTAGCTGGTTGTAAATCATGTATTTAAATAAATCACATGATTAATATTTGATTTTAATATTGTAGGACGTTATAATAAATATTCGCGTACATTATCTCAGACTCCATGGATTATTGATGGAATTCGTAAAGCTGAAACATCTGTTGAAGAATTAATAGCACTTCCAATAAGTAAACTTGTGAATGCTAAAGGTAATAAAATAATTTGTCTTAACCAAAAAAGTATCATATCAAATATTTTTTGTGTATTATAGATTATGTTTTTCTTTCTTCGGGCCGAGAAGATGTCGATGTACGAACATTAGGTCGTGGTTAGTATACAATATCTTTTTTTTATTTTATCATTATTTATTTTTTATAGGTCGACCATTTGTTATTGAATTTCGACATCCTTCAAGAATTCTTTATCTACCGGAAGAATTTGTTACTGCTCAACATGTTTGTTTATAAATATAAAATCGATTTGTTTTATTTTTGTTTTATTATTAGGATATTAATACATTAACAAAAGATGTTCGTGTTCGAGATTTACAACAAGTAACAAAGTATGTAATAATGAGTTTTAGTTATAATTACAACGATTAAATTATTCTTTTTAAGAGAAGAAAGTAATCAGATTAAAGAAGGTGAAGAAGAAAAAACAAAATGTTATGAAGCTTTATGTTACACTGAAACGCAAATTGATCAAACTGAACTTGATCAAAGACTTGCATCCGTTCCGAATCCAATAGTTATTGAACAAAAAACTCCAATACGAGTTTTACATCGGTAAATTCAAATCTTCGTTTTTTCTAAATATACAATATATTTATTTTCAAGACGAACAGTAATGACACGTCAACGATCAATCACTGAACTTTCAGCAACGGTGATTGATCCATATCATTTTCGTTTACTTTTAACAACACAAGCTGGTACATATGTAAAAGAATTTGTTCATGGTGATTTTGGTCGAACAAAACCAAATTTAACAATGATACTTGATCGTTTTGTTGATATTATTGAATTAGATGTTCTAGTATGTAATTTCATTTTATTTCGAAATATATTCTATATAAAATTTATTTCATAGGCTGTGAATATTGATTTTCCGCCATCGTTAAAAAATGAAAATAACGAAAATGAAAAAGATATTTTGTGTGATATGAATGGAAAATAATGATAAATTTTTAAATAGATTTATAAAAGAATATTTTATTTTCATATTACAGATGAATAAACTCATTAAACAAGTAGTGTAATACTTAAAAGATTCACACATGTTGTTTTTTTTAAATAGAAGTAACTTACAAAGTTTAACTTAGATTTAGACTCACAGCTTAATAACGATGATTTTTAATCAATTGAATCAAACTGATAATACATGTCATTTATATATTTCGAGAATTTAACTTCTAATAAATCGATTATCTCTTATGTCATCAAAATCGCGAAGGTTTGAACGATTTAATCGCCAAAATTAAGGACTCTTTACCGATTTTTTTTTCGAAAAGTCTTGATTCCTAGTGATTGCGGCAAAATAACCATTTCTTACTAGCGATATAATCGTCGATTTTGATGACATGGGCTGTTATTTTTCAAATATATATATCACACTTAAAGCATTCATATTTACTACTAAAAAATTTATTTTATCTTACAAACATCACGTTTTTTGCATATTTAACATTACTTTATAATACATTCAATGTTCTATTTATTTATAACCATGCGGTGACGGATCTAGGATTTTGAAACGGAGGGGCTATTTCGGCTAAAAACTATTTTTGAGTTCAATCGAAGTAGTGTGAAACTATTTTTGCTGGAAAGAATGGAAAAAAATTTTCGAAGGGGGGACGATAGGAGTGATCACCCCCCCCCCTCCTCTAAATCCGCCACTGTAATCGTGAAAGATATATACATGCACAACAATATCTTATTCATAGGTGACTTTTCAATAGTTTAAAAAATATCTTGTAATTCACAGTCAATGATTGTATTTTCTTTCCTTTTCATGCATGTCCTCTATAATAATCTCATTTGATTGGTTATTTCCTATCTCCATACAAGTGGTAAACTAACTAACTAACTACAAGTGCTATTAATGATATAGTACTACATATACGCATCTATTGTATAAATTTATTAATTTATCTAGTTTATCGTAATCTTTTTTTCATTCAGATTATACATATAGATCTTTATAGATATTTCAGATTGATTTCTATTGATAAATATGACATCTACTAATTCAGCAAATCGTAAATCAAAACGTGATGATCCCAAACGTTCATCAGCACCTATTACGGTTGTTGCTGCTAGTGAACAACAAGTTACAAAGGTAGAGTTTATTTATTTATTTATTTTTTAATTTGTTTATTTATTTTTTTCTAGACAAAAAATGCTGTTAAACCAAATGAAGCTGTTGTATTAACTCAAACATCGAATACAATTAGTAATAAGAAACGACGAGCAACTGAAATTATTCAAAATGAAGTTTGTTTATTTTATTAAATTCGACAAAAAAGAAAATATTTCATTGGTTTGTTTATTCTTAGGTACCTTTAGCTGAACGTTTGAATGCATTTGAAAATCAAACATCAACTGGTCAATTAAATACAGAACAAAAACAACAAAGTTTATCAGCTGATAGTCTTGTTACATTACTTACTCAAGGATTACAAAGTTCTGATGCAACTTTACTTGATGTAAGTAGTAAAGAATTTGAAAAAGGAAAACAAAACGCAAAAGCAATTCTCATCTATTTCTTTTTTAAATGATTATTAATATGAAACAATATAGACAAAAAAAAGAGACGAAAAATATTTTTTTATGTATAGAAAAAAATTTGTTTGTAGAATTTTAAATTGGTGTCTTAGGATTTTCCGAATCAGAGTTAGCCTTTGATGATGAAGATGATTGTTTTTGTTGTAAACTATTACGTTTTTTACTTGAACGTTGATTTGCTGTTGTTGATGATGAGACTGAATCAAATTCTTTTCCGCCTTGACTTTTAAGAAATGAAAATACATCACGTGAACCTGTTTCACGTGCCCATTTAAGTGGAGAATGACCTTGATTATCCGTTGCATTTATACGAGCACCACTTTTTACAAGTAAACGTACAAGTTCAACATCATTATGAGCAGATGCAACATGAAGAGGAGTCCAACCGGATACATCTTTAGTATTTAATTCAGCTTTATGTTTCAGTAATAGACGAACAATATCTGGATGTCCTTTTTTTTGTTAAAGAAAAAAGAATTAAAATTAACATAAGTTTTTTGTTCGTATAAATTATCTTACCGAGATCAACAGCACGATGAAGAGCAGTAACGCCATCTTTATTAACAATATTTATATCAATATCATGTTTTACTAGAAATTCAATACAGGATACTGCGTGAACTTTAACGGCTTCATGCAAACATGTTTCACCACTATTATCTGTATTATTAATAAAATTTCTTCGAATTTCAGTATCATATTCTGCTAATGCAGTTTCTATTAAATATTTCGCCACATTATATGCTTGACCAGCAATAGCATAAAAAAGCACATTACGTCCTTCATTATCTCGACTAAATAATTGTGCACCTGACTCAAGAAGTAAACGACATATAGCCATATTACCATAAATAGCAGCATACATTAATAATGTTGCGGCTTTATCAGCATCAGATAAATTTGATAGACATGTTGTTCGTTCAGGCGATGAACATGAACGTAATTGACGACTTAATTCTTCAGTATTATCAGTACATATTAATGTAAATAATTTGTCAAATTTTGACGACTGTGATTGTCCCATATGGAGTAATTTTTTTATTATATAAATCTACAAAAACGCTATAACCCCTTCTCCTTTTTTTTTTCTTCTCTGTTGTTGAATAATTTGTCCGTTTGTTATATTCACATGCTTGTGCATATAGTTATACGCTTGATTGATCGTTCGTTTCTTTTTTTCTTGTTTAAACAAAGTACATTTAGAGAAATAGAGAGGAAAAAGGTAAAGAAAATGAGTATCTTACAGTTCTCATCATCATTATTATGTATATAGCTTTTTGATGACATTTTTTGATTTTTAGCAAGTATTATGTTGTCGCAATGAAAAAATTATTGAAAAAACAGTACGTGCACTTACCATTCCAGTACTTTTGCCATTAATTGATTGTTTAAACAAATATCTTTATCAAAGTGCAGAAAAGTAAAATTAAACCTTTTCGTTTGTTTTAATTTAAGTTGAAAAATTTTCTTTATATTCCAGAGGTCTTATTGCATCAAAATGGTTACGAACTGTATTAAGTACTCATACATCATATCTTATGACAGTAAGTGAAAAAAAGAGAAAGGTTTTTTTTTCTTTTTTATAAATAAAATTTTTCTAGTGTCCGGATATAACAGAACGTCTAGGTCCCATGTATGAATTAATTGAAGCACGTACAAGACTTTATCCAAAATTAGCAAGACTTCATGGAAAATTATCACTTATTGCTTCACAAGTAAATAGAATTACTTCATATTTCGAGAAATTATTTCCTAAATAAAATTTACTTAAGATCTTTTTTTCTATTGACAGTTAGTAATCGATATCGTTATATAGATATACATGAGCAATGTCCTTAAATAACACTTTAAAGAAAAAAAAGGTAATGACAAGAACGTTGACTTCTAATTGTCGTCGAAAGAAAATAAATGAAGCATAACATATAGACAAAAAAAAGAGGGCGTTTCTTGTTGAAAATATGACGAACAAACTATTTCATTTATGAGAAAAAATATTGATTTGTAACCGATTACTGGATAAATACGAATTAACGCAATTTGTTCTTAGGGGCGGGACTACTCCCTTTTATGTGTAATAAAATAATAATCATACAAATAAGATATTCTTCTTATAATAGTCGAAATCAATACCTGGATATATTCATAAGGGATTTCTATTTTACCGATGACAGAAAAAAATCCTTTCAGTCTTCATTAAGAGTTATATGCATCAGTTAATCATTTTTCAATAAGTATCCAGATGTATATCTATACATAAACATTTACACATATTGAATAATGATGCCTTAAAGTACAGATCATCATGTAAATGTTCTATGAAAATCTTAATTTCCAATACATAAAAACAATATTGATTATTTGACCTTAGATATAAATGTACTAATTTGAATTGCTGGAAGTGCAAATATTTTTATGATATCAGAACGATCACAATTTCGCATCAATAAAAAAATATGTTATTTATTCATAGATCAATAATCGTAACAATGAATTATCAAATAGTGATGCAACTATTTCAACAAAACCATCGTTTATTTTCGAAGATGTATCTGATGAAGATATTGATGGTGATCAAACACAAGATGAATTAGTACCCAGTCCATCAGAATATGATGAATACTCAGGTTTATCTGACGATCTTGATCTTGGTATACAAGATAATGATGATGATGAAGATGCAGAAGAAGAAGAAATGAATGAAAGTGATGATGATGTAAGTAAATCCTTTTTTTCGATTAATTTTAAATTTAACAAAATTTTTCTTTTTTTATGTAGCTCAACTTTGAAGGTAATGGTCATACGAACGGAAATAATAATGAAAGTGAAGATGATGATTCATCATAGTTGTTGATCATACTGTTTTTGTTTTTGTTTTTGTTTTCTGTTTTTTTTTGTATTATCAACGTGCTATTTCAAAAAAGAAAGACAAACAAAGGTACTCTTTCAGACTACAACATAACAATAATTTATAATGAAATTGTTTTGCTATAAAAATCATGCCAATACATTATCACAAAAAAAGAGAGAGAAAAGTTTCATTGTCGACCAATTGTCATAGTACGAACCTAAATGAAATGAAATGAAAAACAAAACTTAGATAAAATATTTCATACATACGACTGTCAGTAATTCATTGGCTACTTGTGCGGTATCTGATAGAGATTGTGACATCTAAATCATAAATTATACAAAATATCTTTAAAAAAAGATAAAGCGGTTCGTACTAAAGATCGAACAGAGCCAATTGTTTGATCTTGAAGCATATAAATTTCAGCACTTTGATATATCGTAGCAATTGATAGACGTTTTAGATACCATTTAATCTATTTAAAAGAATATAATTGACTGCATGGAATCTTTTTCTAATTTACATCAGTTGATGTATCACCAATGCTGAGCAAAGCATCATTAGCTAAATCTATTAAACTTTTTTAAGCACGTTTTGCATTTGGAGGTATACCTTTTTGTGCTAATGCCTATAAAGAAACATATTTATTATCTTTAGTTATCTATAATTAAAAAACATATTTTGACATACAGAAAAACTATTATATCTTGCTGTGAACTTTGATGATTATAATTAAAAACGCGTTTTTTCTATTCTTGGGTACAAAAACATGATGAAAGCTATTTCACATTTAATTATTATTCAAGGTAAAAAATCGATTAATCGTATTATTTCTTGTGTAAAAACAATAATTTATCAATCATCATACCTGCTCCCAGGTATCACAAGTTTCAATCGATATTTAACGCCATCAAGAAGAAGAGAAGCACCTTGAATATTTTCTTTATGAGCAACAAAATTTAAAAAAAACAAAAATAATATTTTCATCGTATTATTTATTAGCTAAGTCATCATTTTAGCATTTGCATCACGCATAAAATATTCTACAAGATCATAACTATTATAAAATAATACTTCTCTTGTTGTTAGTTGATTACATGCATTTATATCTATATCAATAATATCTGACATATATACATATATTGCGAATAAAATAACAAACCAGCACGAATTGCTTCCATTGATCATCCTTTCTCATGAACATATTCAAGAGATTCATACAATATCTCATCATGTTGAATAGGAATCTCCTCGGGATCACTACTAAAATAATACATTCACATTTACAGAGGATATAAAAATATTAGTGTAACTTGAAATCATGAATAGTGTGCTCTTTTTAGGAATTACGACAAAAGAAAGAATCTAATGATTTCGAACCAGGAGGTAAACAACCGATATGTTTTGATAATTGTATCAAATGGCAACAATGTAATCGGAGATATTCTTGATAATCAAATGTATATGCGTTATATAACATTACAGATCTATGAAATTTAAAACCATATGATGCATAATATTGATCTAACAATTGAATCACTCATTGCATTTTAAAAGACATCATAGTTAAAATTTGTCTGTATCATATATATGTATATATTTCTTTTATTTTGAACGGTAATATTTATTTATTAAGTATTCTAAATAGACATTTGTTTATATGTATTTTTTTTTAAGTAAAAAAGGAAAAATAGAAGAACGAGAATATTTTTTTTGTTTTTTTGTTCAAATGATATGCAGAATTAATAATACAAAATGGTTATAATAGAATAAATAGTCTTTTTTTTTCTTTAAAACATAATTTATTTTGGTTGTCTTGGTTTTTCGATTTCATTTGAATTAAATGGATTTCCTTTTGGATGTTTTTTTGTAGCAGCTGATGTATCTTGTCCACCATATACTCTTGGTCTATTTGATGCTTCATATTTAACGGATTCACTTTGTGTTGATGATGGTTTAGCTCCTTCAAAATTTGCAGTTGGTGAAGATGGTGAAGAATAAACTTCAGAAGATGAAATTTTTGGTGCAAAAACAGCTTCTGGTGTTGGTGCAGATTTTGCTGGTGCATCCGTTTCAAAAGCTGAAGCAGCAGCTGCTTCAGCTAATTGTGCAGGTGTAACTTCTGGCTGTAATTTATGTGTTGTAGATGGATCAGCAATATTCAATTCACCTTGAGTAGTATAAACTGTTGTTTCATGTGGTTTTCCACCATTTTTATCAGCTTTTGGAACAAATTGCGTTGAATTAACACGATTAAGTTTAGCAACATGTACACTATCAGGATTTGTAGCTGACCTAAAAAAATATGTTTAAAACGTGAGAGTAATTAATTATAGATGTTTGTTTCTGAATATTAACATACCAAACTTTTCCACCACTCTTTTTAAAAGTATTTACACCAGTATTAATAGTGTCTGTTGGTTGATGATGATGTTTGAGTTCGTCTGGTATATGAGTTTCTTCCTTAGTTGTTGATGGTTTATAAAGATCAGCATGAGTATTCAGATTATTGCCATCTTTTGATTCTTTATTTTTACTAGATAAACATCGTTTGAATATCACGTTACTTGTAGTATAACTTGCATTCTCTTTTTCAAATGCCAATCTATTATTTTTTAAATGATTAACACTAACAGCTCGAAATAATCGAGATGTTCCAGCTAGAAAAAAAGAAACGAATTATTTTACTAATTTTTTATACTCAGTATTAATTAATACAAACCGCTAAGAGAAATTAAACGTTGCATTGATTGAAAGTAATATGTTATTCCGATTAAAAATATAATATATTGGTAGTCTGTCTGATATAAATACAATAGGCAAATGTTTATGTCACTATAATCAACGTTATTATAAAAATACCCACCTTCGATTGTTTGTCCTAGAAAGAATTAAAAACAAAGTCAATACTTAGGTCACAAATAATTAGATATTAAATCGATTTTAACATATTGGTACGCCTGTCATTCTATATCATATATATGCATAGTACACAAACTTCGTACGCGTACGATGAAATGCATTACTACACTTTAGTAATTTTTTCTATTGGTTCATTGTAATCATCGTGAAAGATAATTTAAAATTTTTCATATAGATCACTTACAAAAAGATTAATTACAAAACGGTCTATTAAAATATGTGTTTATTTATCGTATACTGATTTTTTTTATATTAATTTTAAGATATTTTTTAAAAAAAAGTGCTTCGTTTGTAGTACCATTATCTGATTGTTAGCCTTTAAATTGAGGAATCGATAGTCGTACGCGTGCCGTACAAGACGAGATGACTTATGCATGTAGTTCGTACGCACATGAATGGCATATGTGATGTAACGTAGAACATGGAAGTGGTTTAGTTAAAATTTATTATTGGTGAATACAAATAACCATTGAGATAGATCAGAGGATTTTGATGTTGTCTATACGTGTTTAATATGTAATTTATTCAAAATTATCCAACAATAGTCTTTTTTTCTTATTATAATGGCATCAATGGGAAAAGATGATGATTTACGATCGTTCGATGTACCTGAAATAGCACGGCATTCTGGTGGTTATACGATATATAAAATCGTATTACTAGTAACACCTAAAGAAATAACTGAAAATAGTTACCAGGTATGTGTAAATTGTAATAATTCAATATATTTTTGTATGACTCTTGATAAATAGTCATAGAGATGAACTAGCGAATATATAAACTATCTTTTTGTTTAGATTATCTATTGGAAACGTTATACTGATATTAAAAAGTTGTATGATACACTTAATCGTTATCATCAAGCTATTTATCGTCCAGGAAAATTCCCTAATTTTCCAGAAAAATCAGGATATATGGGTATTTATATACAAAAGAAAAATCAAATTCATATACCTTCGAATATTGTATTTAGAACGTTTCAATCCTGCTATTATTGAAGAACGACGTGTAGCTACTAGAAATTTTCTTAATTTTGCTTTACAATATTTATATTTACGTACACATGATGCATATATAAATTTCTTTCAGGTAATACTAAATGATAACTTATTTATATTTTCTACGAACTATTAATTCTATTGATCTAGTTTAGAAAGGTGAAAAGGTTTTCTCACCTGATGTCAATACAGATACATTAAAACCAGAATCAGTCATTCCGCAATCATCACCAATATCCATTCCAGAAGAAGTACCAATTCCTGTACAATCGACTATAATTGATGAAAAACAAAATGAACTTTTATTAAATGTTGATGAAGAACAACCAAATATAGATCATACATCTACTAGAATACTTGACGATCTTAGTGATCTTAAATTTGATCAAAATGATGAAGAACAAAATGCAATTCAAGCAGAACCTTTAGGTAAGAGAATATTACTATTATATTAATAAATTAGAGAGTTTATTCCATTTAGATTTATTATCAACGAGTACAAAGAGTCATGATTCGTCTTAACACAAAAACATATTTATTTTTTTATCATCAGCAATTCATTTTATAAAGAAAACAAACTATTTTTCTTTTATTTTATATACTAACTCATTAATTTCTACAAAAAATAAACAATCATTTAATTCTGCTTTATTCTTGATAAGAGAAAAAATCTTATATATATTAAGTAAATTATTATTGTTAAAAAATATTTTTTTCCATCTATTGGAGTCATCTATCGATTGAAAGAAACAATATAATACATAGTAATTAAAGGCATTAGATAGACTGGTAGTTGAAAGAACGAATATAAGTAAATATAAAGTGCTTAGGTAATGATGACATGTTTGTTTAATGATAATGCAAAAAATATTACAGTCAACTTTACGACGACTAAAAGTAATGGCGTTACGTCCGGAATTTCATTTCTCATCTGTTCTTGAACATAGTGCATTAAATAATAATTTTGAATGTTTTCAAGGAAATCCATTAAATCGTCTTAATCTTCATCGAAAATCAATAAAAGATGTTGCTCAACATACTCAATCAAGATTTTTATCATATCGACAACTTAAAGTACTTTTTGATCAAGAAAAAAAACAACCGACTTGGTTAACCTATGAATTTTTATTTGAAAATAATAAAAATACTAATAATGAAATAAAATTAACTCTTGATCAATGTGAAATTGTTCTACTTGGCATCGGTTCTCGATTTATTGCTGATCGACCATCATCAATTACTAATACTGAATCAACAAAAATCGATAATAAACTTCTCAATAAATATTTATTAGCTTCTGAACCAACTCCAGATGAATATATCTATTTTGCGTTGTCAATTCCAACACAATTTGCAGATAATCTACCTGGTACTTATATGGATCTTCGATCATTATTACCTCAATTATCTGTCATTGATGCAGCTATATGTGGACAGGGACGTGCTTTACTCGATTGGCATGCATCCTATCAATATTGTGGTAAATGTGGTTCAACAACAAATTCATTGGAAGGAGGTACACGTCGTAAATGTACGAAATGTAATAATACAATTTATCCTCGAACAGATCCAGTAGCAATAACATTAGTTATTCATTCTGATAAAGAACATGTTTTACTTGGACGTAAAGCTACATTTCCTCCTTTTATGTTTACATGTTTAGCTGGTTTTATTGAACCAGGTGAATCAATACCTGAAGCATGTTCACGTGAAGTTTGGGAAGAAAGTGGTGTTATTGTTGATACAAATTTAACACGTTATTTTGATTCTCAACCATGGCCATTTTTAGGTGGACAATTAATGATTGGATGTTTTACATCAGCTATTGATGAAACAATAACATTACATGATTCTGAATTAGAAGATTGTCGTTGGTTTTCTCGAGATGAAGTTGGAGAAATGATACAACGAAGTCGTGATGTTAATCTCGATAAAAATGATAAAGGTCTTCGTATTCCACCACCTTTTGCTATAGCACATCAATTGATTTATAACTGGCATTCGACAACACCTAAAATTTAAATAACAATCTATTTTTATTTATTTATTTACTTATTCTTTTGTAAAATAAAATATCAACTTAAAGAAGTTGATATGTATAATGTTCTATTCCATACTCTCTCATATTTGGTTATAGTAAATATTTTTGTTCCAAAAAAAGAACAGGTCAGACAGTAATACAAGATTACAGAGTACATATCCGATCTAGAATGAAGTATATATGTAGAATGGTTCGATGCATTCACTCATACGACTAATACAATAGATAAGAAAAACTATTGAAATTTTTATATAAAACATACTTTGCTGCTAAATTTTGATTGATTTGTATGTATATAAATATTAAAATAAGACAAAATTTGATCTATAATTTTTATTAAGATATAATATTTGACATGATCGAATACTTTGTAATCCTTATGATGTTAATATTATTGGACATAATATTACTTAGATTATAATCATTCATCCATAATCACATGTCATTGCTCATCTGCAAGACAATGATTAAATTTGGATGTTAGAAGGTCAAATATCTAATTACATATCAAACATAAATTTCAATTCAATACTATATTAAGTTTCAAGACATGTTACGAAGAACGGATGCACGAATACTTGTTATTGAAATAATAGAAATTAAGTAAAATTTAGATCTAAGATGAATTTCATAGCGCGTGAATAGAATGAATCATTACTTACTTAATTATCTATTAAATAGATTGAAGATCATTCAAAGAAAATATAGATTCCAATGACTATATCTTATCTAATTCATATAACTCTTCTCTTTTTTATTTTACTTATATCTTCTATTAATTCATGTAAATGGTCACCTACTCAATGTGGTTGTGCTTACACACCACCATCACTACATCAACGTATTGTCGGAGGCGTAGCAGCTAAAGAGCATTCATGGCCAGTAAGTTTATAGAAAATAAAATGCATATTATTAAATAAATTGGCTATAATAGTGGATAGTTGCTATTCGCCAATATAATTCACATTTATGTGGTAAAAAAGTGAATTCTTCTTGGAGTAATAAAAACTAGAGATGTATAATTTCTAGGTGGAGTCCTGATTAGTGATCGTCATGTATTAACAGCTGCACATTGTTTTTTAAATTATCATCCAAGCATGATCAATGCTTTTACATTTGCAATGGGTCATCATGGAAGATCTGAAAACATTTTTATTTCAAAAGCTAAACGTATTATAAATCATAAATCATATGATAGCAATGGAAGAAATATACACGATATTGCATTAGTTGAACTTGAACGAATAATTGATTTTAACAATAAAAACATAGGCTTTATTTGTCTTCCATCAGCAGATATCAATAATAATGGAATCTATCCACCACTAGGAACGCCAACGTATGATTATAATAATAATGATAATAAAAAAGAGATCAATCAATTATTTCTATCTTTAGATGGGTAGTAGGATGGGGTCATACAAGTTTTCATGGAACACCATCTACAGTATTACTACAAGTTTCAGTACCAATTACAAATAATAAAGGATGTACAGCAAAAGTTACTCTACCAACAAAACAACTATGTGCAGGACTTGATCAAGGTGGTAAAGATTCATGTCAAGGAGATTCTGGTGGACCACTTGTACTTGACAAAGGACAAGGAATATTTGAATTAATTGGAATTGTTTCATTTGGTGAAGGATGTGCTTATGTTATGAAACCGGGTATAAAAATAGATCAATTCTCTATGGATAAGATATTTTCTTTCGAAAATACTATTAGTATATATCCTTTCTTTTCATTACTAACGAATAAATCATAGAAGAATAATTAAAAAAAAAAGAACAAAATATCATAATTTAGTCTTCTATTTTGCATAAAAAGGAACTATGTCTTAATTATTTCCTTTTCAATTTAGGTATTTACACGCGAGTTAGTGGATATATTGATTGGATCAATGATTTAATTAAAAAACCCATAACACATACAGCAAATACATCAAATACACCACATACTACTGTAGTATTACCACAAGCTTTACTATCGAATGGGAATCAACGAAAATTATCTTATATATTGTTTATTTTCTCTTCAAAGTTTATTATTAATTTTAAATGAATATCGTTTAATTATATTTGTACTCGAACCGATAGTTAATACGAATAAAATTTACGTTAATAAAATCTTATGCTTCACTTATATATCAATTTCCGTTCTTTTAATTAATTCATATATCTTAATATTTCTCTTGTTTCATCCTCTTACATACATATATATATATATAATATTCATACTCGTCTTTCCTTTTCTTTTTCTATTCTTCTGCTCATTTGCTCATCATGATAGTAGAGTATTAGCCACTTGAGATAATCGTTCAGTGAATACCATCATCAAAAGCCACTTCGTTTGCGTTTTTTAGTAATAGTGTGCAAAAAAAGAAACGATAGTATGAAACGAGGAAAAAAAACAAGCATAAAAGAATGAAGAAAAATCAAATCCCTCATCATTTTGTCGTTCTTTTTTCTCTCTCTCTGTCTCTCTACTTTCTTCGTTCTCTTTATCTATTCACGCAATGTGTCTTGTCGGGTTTGAATAAAATACAATGATCGAGTTGCCACTGCCGTCTTAGTTTTCTTCGTCTCGTTATATCTGGAAAATGCCATTCCTTTATTTTTTTTCCCCTTCATTTTTTTTTCTATATATTCGGGAGTTTTCTTTTTTTTTTCTCCTTACGATAGACGCCAACCAGTAAGTCAAACATAGTTAGTCTATGTAATAGAGGGAGAGAGAGAGAGAGTGCATGTGTGCACACGTTACTTGTCTTCCGGCAACACATACATATATATATATAACTTTACATTCACAGATACTAGTGAATATTGAAAGAATAGGATGAACTTCAATTTAAAAGCAGCTGGAACTCTGTTTTCCCGAGCTAAACAGGTATTTTTACTCATAAATATTTATAAACAGATGCATTATTAAAGAAACTCATTATTTTTAGTTTACAGAAGAAAAACTTGGACAAGTCGTTGATCGAACTGAATACGATGATAACTTTGAACAATTATTAGCACGAGCTGATAGAACAAAAGCATGGACAGAACGATTAACATCACATGTTGATACAGTTCTTCAACCAAATCCAAGTAAATAGATTTTCTTCTTGACAATACAAAAAAAACAACATAGTCGATGTCTTATAGATGAACGTCTTGAAAGTTTTATCTTAACAAAACTTGATCAAAAGGCTTTGAATAAACCAAATATTTATGAACAACTCGGTTATTGTATGTGCGAAGCAGGAAATGATTTTGGTCCATCAACGCAGTATGGTAATAACAAAAAAATTATTCATTTGTTCTTTTTTTTTTATGAAAAGCCTTTTATTTATTCAGGCTCAGCATTAATCAAATGTGGTCAATGTCATCAAAAACTAGGTCTTGCTCATAAAGAATTTATTCAATCAGCAGCTATTGGTTTTATGCAACCATTAAAAAGTTTTCTTGATGGTGAAATGAAATCATTAACAGTATAGATATATATATATTTCTAAACACATAAACTATATTATTATGGAAAAATATACTCTAGAAAGAACGTCGTACATTGGAAATAAAACGTCTTGATCTTGATGCCGCAAGGTCCAAACAGAAAAAAGCAAAAATGACGAATAGTAATGTCCCAATGGCAATGGCAGATGTAAATATTTACTAATTATTTATAAATCTAATTTCATGTTTTTCTTGTTTTTGTTTTTAAGAGTTCAGATACGGAATTACGTCAAGCACAAACAGAATTTGATCGTCAATTAGAAATAACACGTCTAATGCTCGATGGTTTAAATAATTCTCATGTATGTTCTAATTGTATTTAAGAAGAAAAGAAAAAAAATAAATGCATTATTATTATTATTATTTAGGGACATCATTTACGTTGTTTAAATGATTTAGTTGAATCGGAATTACAATATCATCGACAATCTGTTCAAGTACTTGAAGATTTACGTAAACAACTTGGGTAAAAAAATTTTTTTTGAAACAAAACAAAATATCTCATTTCTTCTATAGTCTATCAAAATCAACATCAAATTCGTCGACTATCCCATCAACACCTCGTACTGTAGCAACACCACGCACTGCAACTGTTAAATTTGATTATGATGCATCGGATATTAACGAATTAAGTGTTTTGGCAAAAGAAGTATTATAAAATAAACAATGATTGATTGATTTATCTTATTTTTGTTTTGCATTTTAGACCGTAAATATTGTTTTAGATGATAATGAAAAACTTTCTGATGATGCCGAATGGATAACAATAGAAAAACCATATTCAAAAGAACGAGGACGCGTACCACGAGGATATTTACGTATTGATTCTTTATCTTCTTGATTAAATTCTTTATATATATATAGTTTTTTTCCTTGTGCGCTTTATCGTCTTCCGAAACATGTAAACTATTTTTTCATCATTTGATTTCTATATTTTTCTTTGTGATATGTTTGGTGACGAGCGCACAGTATATTTAAATTATATGCAATTGGAATCTGATTTATAATATGCACATGATTTTACTTTTTTTCTTAACCCAATTGTACTTTATTTACTCAAGGAAATAAATTCACTATATCATTTTTGACAATGATATTATTTTATATTAATGGCAGCTGCAAAAAAGAAATAATATAAGTTATTCCTTAATGACAGTTAGAGAAAATGAAAAAGACATTTTTCTTTCTTCGTCGTCGTTTCTTTGATTAAGAAATATATTTTATCAAATACAATGTACGTTAGAAAAAAAAAGAATTATTTTCGGATATAATCAAAAAAACTTTTATAGAATTTGAATTATTAATATAAGACGAATTTTACCTGAGCAAAAAGGTTTTTTTTCTAATTATCATTGATTAGAAAGTTCTACTACCTTTCAAGACAATAATTATGCACGATTAAATTTTGTTAAAAATAGTTACCACGTAAAATATTATATATATATATACATGTCAAGGGATTAAAATTAATATAGATAAAAACTAAAAACTTCTGGCATATACTGACGTTCTTTTTTTCTTTCTCATAAATCATCAACTAAATATTCATAATAAAATATGAATGAAAAAACAAATGGTGCATGTTATTTTTTTTAGGAAAAGCAATTTTACATATAGATTTTCTGATGTATCGACCAGGTTTATATGAATAGCAAACTTTTACTTTAATGTATAGTAACATCAGTAGAACGAGAATAATTAGACGAAGTAAAAGCTCTTATTATTACTTCAAGTTTCTTTTTTTCCGTGAAAAGAAAGTTATTATTGTATTTTGTATTGTTAGTATACAATCTATAAATATAAATCAAAAACTATATAGAAATCAATCTTATTCTTTGTATTCGTTTTGATAAAACTTAATTTATTAAACTACATGAAGTGTTATTGTAAAAAAGATGTTTCAAAAAAAAACTCTTAACAAATTATCTGTGCATCGATAAGCATGACTGCATGAGCGAATATTTACTGAAGTGAAAATTTTATGAATTTGTTATCCATCAGTTAAATAAACTCATTCTATTTATCATAAATGTTAGTTTTTCTTTTTCAGAAATATTTTTCACTATATTTTTTCATACGATTTCATTAGAAATTCATAATAAGATATATTCTTATTTTAAAAACTATGCTTTGCTTATATCCTTAAAAGCTTTCTTTCCGGAAACCTTTAAGCGAAGATAACTTTCATTTATAAGTAATCCATTTCAATATGCCTATAGGTGTACGATGAATAGATATAGACACAATGTTGTAAGGCGATTAACAGATTGCAAAATACTGAATTATATGATATATATTTAATCGTTTTCCTTATTTTTTACAATAAAAAGAGATATTCTGATTTACATATATATATACTTGTACAAAGAAAAGAAAAAGAATATTTTCATATATATAAAAATAAACTAAAATCTAAATGGGCGATTTTCTATTTTTAAAATTCCGAATCAATTTACTGAAGTAACAGATGTGTCCATATGATGCCAATAATTCAAGTTTATTACAGTTATTTTGTTTTCATTATTTTGATATATGAATAAACAGAAGATGAAATAATTAAGCATTGATCGATTTTATTTAAATTATAAAACAATACAAGTGAGTTTATCCTAAATTCAGCTATACAATCATCATCAAATCATAGAAGTAATGTTAATTAATATTTCAATCAGCTAATAAAATTCTCTAGTTTGTTCCATGTTATAAACATTGTGATTAAAAATTTTCTCTATCTTTTTTTTACATTCTAAATTATGGTACCGTAACTAAATAACGAAAACCAGCATTACTATATTTTTTTTATTAAAAAGATTCAATAACAGTACTATAAGAGTAATCTATTAAGTGTTGAAAATCACACATATATTTCAAATAATTCGAATGAATATACACGTTACTAAAATAAAGGATACAACTTTTTGATTTTACATTGTAAACAATTCTTCTTAAAGATTTCATTAGTTCATATGTAAAAATGATAATAGAATGTAGACAGACGAGGTTGTCATATTGAAAAGAAGCAATAAATGAAAACAAAAGAACTTCAATTTATTATAAGAATCTAACAACCTGTCAACTTATTCTTTTTTTTTTATATATAGTTTTTATATGAAGATTATGTTTTCTTTCTTTTCTTCTCATTTTTTTTTATTTCTATCGTTTCTATTCATGCTTGAGGCACATATATGTAAAACAAAAGCAAACGATCATCTTCACATCATGCTAGATTTGTGTGTATGCCTCGTCAGTTTTATAGATCAGGTAGACATGGACGAGATGAAAGATTTCTTTACTCGTCTTTCACTATTATGTAGACTAGCTATAGGGCAACCTTCCTTCCTTCTTTTTTTTTTATTCATTCATGTATTCATTCATTCTTTCATTCTTTTCATTCATTCATTCATTCATTCATTCGCCTGCTTGACTGCTTCATGAATATATGGATGTGTTATTGTTGTGTTGATTTCAAAAGGAGAGGACATACGAACAAAAGGGACGCACAGGAGGAGAAGTGAAGAGTATCCTTTATACTCAACAACGACGACGACACACACAAAGACAACTCATGTGGGTCAAAAAAAAAGGAGGGGGGGGAGAGAAAAAGAGAAATAAAAAAGAAAAAGAGAGAAAGAGACAGGGCAACTGCCATTTCAATCAACCGTATCTAAGCGGCTTTTGTGTCGTATGTATGTGGGTGCTTTGAAAGCACGGAGAGAAAAAGAAGTTGCTGCTACAAATACTAGTGAATTGAATTCAATATATTGTATACTTCAATGGATGTTGTGGTGTCGACAAGTACTACGATTCGTATCTGTACGTGACGTGCGTTCACAACTACGAAATGAAGACAAATGTTATAGTCAACCTGCTGTTGTTGTTTGATCATATAACTAAACGTAATAAGTACGATTTAATGGATATAAATACATATTCTGTTTAATCTAACGACGAATAATATCACATAGCATTAGCTATGTAGATGGGCACTATATATATGCCACGCGTATCGTCAATAATACAAGTCGTTATTTTCTCTTACAGGTAAGATTTCATATAACTATATACACTGAAAAAGAAAAAGTGTTAATATTGACATATTATAATAGAATTGTTGATTATTTTTCGAAGTGTTATTTTAAATATCATTTATCATCATAGAAAGTAATGAATGTTTTTCGTGTAAATATTCAATATAAGGAAGAATAAAATTTGTCTAACGATAGATGTCAGAATATATCGATCGATAATTTTATAGATGGCATTCGATTATATATAGAAATCTCATCATTGATTTTTAAGTGTTTTCTTAATCTCAATAGATTGTATGTTTATTTAATTCTTTTTTTCAACGAGAAAGAAAATACAATTCCACTTCTGTATGAATTATTTCATCTTGAAATTTAAATAAAAGCATATTGAAAAAAAAACAACATTAAGATTCAATCTTAACTTCAAAGAAAATATATGTATGATAGAAGTATAGTTGTAGTGGTCAGTTGATTATCTTTCATTTATTTTCTGAACAATTGATTTTGAAGAAAAAAAAAAAAGAAAGAATGCATATATTTATTCCTTCATCCACTAGAAAATCTAATTGATCGTGAATAAGTACCAGTCTAAACATTGTTTATCGATCAACGATGTTGTACAATTCTTCCTTTATTTTGCTAAGCTTATAATGAGTATAGATGTGTTAAGTGAACAACCTTCACTTTGCCTTGAGCGCGTGACATATATAGAATAAAGGATTAGTAAAGACAATAAGTAAATATTGACTTGAGTCTTGCCGGACAGACTGAAAAAGGAACCATCTCCTCTTTCAAAGAAAAAAATATATTTATTTCATTTTTTTTCAATCTATGCCAGTCTATTTCGATGATGATAGTTTGTCTCGACTGACACGCACATATAGAGTCCCCAATCGAATCAAATCACGCGCATTCGTGTATGTATATATATATATATGTATTCATTGACAGCATCATCATCTCTGTTTGTCACCTAAACATAACCACAAGAGAGATGATTGGTCACGCAATTCACTCACTTTCTCTTCAATAGATGATGATCGGTACTCTATTGGGAAAAAAAACGGATATGTTCATGAGTACGAACAATTCAATTTTCTAATTAGGTTTTTTTTCTCACTATATGCATATGAACTAATGATGCGTATATCGAATGTTGTGACATTCTGAAGAAAAAATGTGACAAATGTTTATTTCATCGTTTATATACGATCGGATTTCTCGAATAACAACAACATCGCCACTTAATATTATGTGAACGATAGGAAAATTGATCTATGAGAATGATGATATCTTTTTCTTTCTTTCTTTCAAGCACCTAAGTCAAGAGTTGGACAGCAACACAGCAAAATTGCTACTTGAGAATCAGCTGAAGTATCCTTCTCTTATACTCATTCTCCTCAACTTGAACTATCGTTCGCCTTCGCTTTCATTCACCTTCCGACCGACAGTGACGGAAGGAAGTCGAACGACGTCCGTTTAATTGGCATCGTCGTTCCAATACATCGTCGTAGAAGAAGAAGAAGAAAAAACCTAGAATAGAAGCTAGATATTCATCAAAAGACGATACGAGATGTTAGATCAATAGCAAAGTCACGCACATATATAACGAGCAAAAAAAAACAACAAGAGAAAAAGGATATCACCGATATAATATCACGAGAGAATTCATTTACATGTCGTCAGGAAACAATTGCGAATGTTTGTCGGTTATTTGTTTGATCTATAAATTCATATTCCAAATGGATAAGGTACTTGTCTATATAATTAAAAAAAGAAAGAAAGACATTCTTTGTCAATAATCGAATGGCATAGATCCCGCCTTCGGGCGTCGCTTCATTACATCGAGCCAACCCATTTACTCTTGGGAAATAGTCTTTCTCTTTTTCTTAATGGTGGATCAAACGGATGATATCTTTCACATACAACACCCATGTTCATTCAAGCACAATCAAATACACATAAAAATATATAAAGGTGCTGTCTCCCACAAATACGCTTAAGTGAACACACATTGCAATATACTTTAACATTACTTTGCAATTTTTTTTGTTAAAATAGCATACAACTATTTTTCTTCAGCCAACGGGCACATTAGCGAAGTTATAACACATACACATCGATCATCATTTATTGTTGTAATGAAGAGAAAGAGAGAGAGGGAGAGAGAGACAAAAAGGTGTCAAATTGATCTTTCTTACGTGGCACATATATCGTAGACAAAAGTATGTATATGTATATATATATATATGTGTGATTCCTCTTCATTGCTTATTTGACACATATCACCGGATGCTTATCAACATCCGTTCAATCTAAAAAAAAAATTTATTTGGGCTGATAATTTCATTGGCTTAATATATTATATCAACATCATTTTTTTTTTGTTGCCTATTCAGCTTAACTCATTAAGGGCGGATCTGGCACCTTTTTTTTAACACTATAGGGAAAGATCAATCAATGTAACAATGTGAAAATTAAATCAAGCAATCCCTATCAGTCATCAGTAACAATGAAATAATCTGTTAGTAGTATAGATTTTTGCCTTTTTTTCAATATTCACTCGTATTAATATTTATTTAGTTTGAATACAGGTGAAATGAAAAAGCATGATTTTTAGTCTACAAACATACTCGAAAATATAAAGCAAATAAAATCATGAATAATAGAAGGCAAATATACTTGAATAAGCAACGAGTACTGTATTTTAATGATTAGAAAACGGATTTTTCTTTTACTTTCTGCTCAATCAGTTTCTTGTTGTTTTTGATTAATAGAAGCAACAAAACGGAAATGCTGCTGGTGCCTTGATATATACGTTTTCGGAAGGTAGCACAGTTGCTGCCCGACAGCTACATAAGAAAGAAGAGAAAAAAAAGAAATGTCCTTGTATTAAAAATCGATTCGAACAGAGACATTTAGGGCGGGGTCAATCTGCACAAGTGAAAACGATGATGATGATCATGATGATGATGATCGTAGCCATCTGTTGCCTAAACATATATATAAAATTCGTAGTTTTTCAAACTCAGAAAGAAAAACGATCGTATGTCACGTTCAAAACTCAATTATACATTATTCAATTAATTAATTATCAATTGGAAAAAACGAGAACTAGATTCAGTGAAATAATATGCGATGTAACTCAACACGATGAGAAGAGGAAGTAAAGCCGTAATTATTGAGCAGAATATTTTTCGAGTGTATGCACGTGAAACAGATTACGAAGCTCGTATCTCTCATTCTCTTTCGTTGAACAACTTATATATAATTACACTTAAATTTAGGTGACAAATGCAGTTTAACATTCCGTATGTTATCACTTGATATGATGGACGTTTAATCGTTGATATTATATCAGCATAATTACTGTTTTCTTATCTTTCTACCTATAAGGCAAATAGTTTTTTTTTGAAAAAAAGAAAAAAAAGTGTTACAAGAGATTACACAAATATGTTGTTATTGTTAGTATCCATTGCATTATTATTATTATTATAAGTCGGATGAAAATATTTTCTTAATCCGTATGATAAGTCTATATAGAATATTAGTTCCTTTTCTTTTTCTATTTTAGGTGTTATTAATAAAACAAACAAATAGACAAATTACAAAGATATATATATATATACTTTTTCTCTCTTTTTTTTATGTTCAACATTTCATATTTGTATATTTTTACGTTTTTTTTCTTCTTCTTGTCTCAAATACATATACGATCACATCAATTGTAATAACAATAAATAATAAAATATTCTAATGAAATTTTTCTTTCTTATCTATATCCATGATTGGTTGTATTTTAGGTCTTACGCGCCAATCGAAATAACAGTTATATCGGATGGTAGCGTATTGGCGGAGTGAAAGAGAAAAAAATTCTTCTCTCTTTCCCTTCTTTCTCGTTTTCTCTCTGTGTGTTATGTTCTGCTAAAAAGGGAAACGAACGAAAGCGGTCGTTTGCTTGAATATACCTGACCCGACTGCTGCTGTTATTAGAAGAGAACGAGAGAGAACAATACACGCTCACACCTTTCGAATAACACACGGTAAGCCATGTGCTGCTATTGAAGAAGGATATTATACGAATCCAATGCTTATATTTCTCTCGAAAAAAAAAATTTTCTCGTTTCTATTGTGCTCCCATCCGTAGAGAAAAAGAGAAAGAGAAAGAGAAAGAGAAAGACAGAGACAGAGAAGAGAAAAAAAACCGGAGTGAGCGTCGGCGTCAGGCACATTGAGTATCGATGCGATTGTATTGTATTGAATTCATCTCATCAACATGACGGTTTCTTCTTATTAACAAACATACACATACACCAGGTAAAGTTCTTCCTATTATTCTATAACAATAGAGAAAACAAAAAGGGAGAAGAAAAAGAAAAAGAAATACCAAAAAAAAAAGAATGAATGAAAGAATTGAATGTGTAATTGCTGTATACATAATACAATTGAGAATGACATTTGCCTACTACAGATAATAAACAGCTGACAATGATAACTATATCATTTTTTTCTTCTTCAGTCATTAACCAATGGAATGCTAAGTGTTTTTATTATTTAAAAATCTTTTTAAAAGTATGTTATCATTTTTCTTATACTTCTTCTTTTTTTTTGAATAATTCTATTTTTCTTCTTCTATTATTATCATTATTATTTGTTTTCAGCTATGGTATCTCTATATAACATGGACTCGAATCCCGAGTTATCTTTTAATACATCTCATTATCCACATCATCATATACCCTATCATCATGGAAATATTTATGATCCTTCAGCACAAAATTCATCTGCACCACCACTACCACCATCAGCCAATTGGATGATGAATCCACAACATTCTCATACACATCTAATGATGCAACATCATATACAAGCTCCACCATCACAATATTCCAATGGTATGAATGGACCACATTCAAATTCATCAAAAGATGAACCATCATCTCCTTTATCATCGTCACCCGATGGTACAACACCACCAACATCTTCATCCGCATTAACGCCAAATTCCTTATCAACAAGTCATCATCATCATCGCCATCAACAGCAACAACAGCAACAACAACAGCAGCAGCAACAACATCATCATACTTCTGCATCTAAAAAATCATATGATGATCGTGTAAAACGACCAATGAATGCATTTATGGTATGGTCACGTGGACAACGACGTAAAATGGCACAAGAAAATCCAAAAATGCATAATTCACTAATAAGTACATGTTTAGGTGCTGAATGGAAACGTTTAAATGAAGAAGATAAACGACCATTTATTGATGAAGCTAAACGTTTACGTGCAATTCATATGAAAGAACATCCTGATTATAAATATCGACCAAGACGTAAAACAAAAAATTTACAACAGACAACTCCAACATCAAATAATCATAATTCATCATCAATGAATAATCATCATTCTCAACAGAAAAAAGACAAATCAAATCATCTTCATCATCAACAACAACATCTTTTAAATTCATCAACATCGAATCTTCCACCACCACCACCACGCGGTACAAGTTGGGCTTTACCAGGAAATGTTATTGGATCGAATTCATCATCATCATCACCCTATTTAACTGATTGTAATCCATCTTATTCAATGACAGATCCAAATGTACTTTATTCCCATCCATTTTCAGCAGCACCTATGTATCATTATGGTCCACCATCAAGTACAAGTCCTCAAACTCCTCCACCACCTGTTCAATATGGTTATGGTGGTAATCATCCATATTCTTATATGAAACATGAACCTATTTCATCTCAACAACATTTTTATCCGCCATTACCACCAGTTTCACATCAAGATTATTCTCCACCAGATCCATCATCACCTGAACAGCATATGTAAGAGAAAAAGACCCTAACTTTGTTTTTACTGTCTTGTTTAAACAACAAAATAAAAAGCCCGGTCGATGTGCAATCTATTTGAATCTCAATTCATACGACATCTTCGTTTTCTGTTTTTTTTTCTGTATGTCATTTTCTCTATTTTGTCGCATCGGCTGTATACGTGTGTTCGTGCCGTTTTGTTCGTTTTTTTTATACACACTCTCTCTATTGATTCCGAAAATTTTTTTCTGTCTTGTTCTTTTTTTTTTTTGCTTTTCCGTTTGTTTGTTCACACGCGCGACATGGATACACAGTGAAAAGAGAGAAGAAACGTTTTCTTGTTGTATAAAAGTAAGAGAAAGAAATATATATATAGATGATGAAACATGAAGCCATGTTCGATTAATTTTAATGCCAATATTTTCACATGTTTTATTTTTCTCTGCCTCTATCCTAAACCTTTAATAGTTCGTACTATGACATGATGAATTGATTTGGCCCTGTCACGCATTCATTTGTTTCTTCTCGCCAAATGCACCATACCGGGATTGTTCTGGCTGCTGTAAATAATCGATGTGTATGTGTATGTATGTATGTGGCAATGAGTGCGAACCATGACCCACTCATTGTTGATCGAGAGAGAGAACGCTGATTTTTTCTCTCTCTCTCTCTTCATCTAGCCCTCCTGTAGTGCTTTGCTCTACACTTATCGTTGTATGAGGCAGCCTGGCTGACTATGTAGGTGAAGAGAATAAATTAGTGTTGCTTCTACCTCTCAGCATCAATAAATAATAGACGACATCGTCTGAGTGGTGGTAGTATGAATAAGAGATGAAAATTACTAATACGCATATTGGATAGAGAATAAGAAAAAGAAGAGAGAATATCTTAAATTATAGACGAGAGTAAGATTAGAGCCGAAGCAATGACAACGGATAAGCTCTCTATACGTTCTTTCTCGTTTTTTTCCTTCTTCATCTTCTTGCTTTCTCTCTCTCTCTCTCTTCTTCACACTCTTGGGAACAATTGTCACAGAAACTCCTGTTGCACTTTCTCGATAATTGCTTATTAGACATACATCTATATATGGAACCGAATCAGTGCTTATAAGCATACAAGAGAAAAAACGACGAAGAAAAGATGTTATGATTATATATAGAAGACAATATGCGAGTAATCAGGCATATAGATTTATAATGGATATTGTCTCTTCCTCTATTTTTTAAAAGAATGATGTTATATTAACAAAATACAAAATTTTCATTGACAATTTCTATCACCGGATGTGTAATGATCATTAAAGGTGTGAGAGGTGTTAGTGTGTCTGTATGCATATATATATATATATATATATATGTATGTATGCATTTGCTAATGGTCGTTTATATTGTGAGCATAGAAAAATATTGACCCTCGTCATCAATCTTCTTTCAATGTTGACCAAAAAAAAAATGGCACGTCGTATGTTTTAGTTGTATTCAAGTCTTCATTAGGATACATGATGCTATTAAAAGGAAAGGAAAGAAAAGGAAAAGGAAGCCCTACCATCAGAGCTTCACTCACTAATCGAATTCAGATCGTGTCGTTTGTCGACATTGTCCTATAGAAAAATCAATGAATTGAACTAATCAAGCTGTCCACTTGATAGCAAAATCTTTCTCATTTTATCATCAAGTGGACATATCCTATCAAATCTCAATGAATTAATGGAGTATATATATATATTTAGATATATAAATATATTCTTTCTATCAAGACTAAGAAAAAAGCTTCTTTTTTCTTCTTCTTTGCAGTAAATAATTAAAAAATCTATGTTTAATCTGCATCTATTGAATTTTTTATAAAGACAGAGAAAAGACTAGTTGATCGCAGCAGGTAACAGGAAATAAACTGCTAAGCAAAGGAAGTTAGATACAAACTAATTTTCTCTTTTCATTCAAATATAATTACAAATTTGATGAATTCTAATTTTCTATAGGGAATAAATGAGAATAAGAGTTTATATATTATTTATTTGATTGTAATTGAGTAACAACTTGCTTAAGACAGACGTTGTTGTAGTAATCCCTTTTTATTTAAGATATTTGTTGGAGAATTAGTAAAAGTAGATAAAGAATAAGATTGATCATTAGTTTTTGGCTTAGATTGATCATTTAAAAATGTATTATAACGATGATGTTGATTGTAAAATGATATTTTATGTACTGAAAAAACAAATAGATTCTTTTCTTATTGATAATTATGATGAGAAAAGTAAAATATAACAATGAATGTTTTGTTACCGGAACCTAATCTAACAAGAAGAAAAAGGGCAGGCCTATTGACAATGCAAATACATAGAATATGATCAATGATGTTTGAGAACGGAATAACTATTGGTTTCATTTGACTAAATCTATTTATAAAATGTCATCAATATAAACTATCAGTCTTCAAAAAGTGACATATTCAATAAGATTATTTCAACAAACCTATATATTCTCATCTTTGATAAGTAAATATCTATAAGGTAATAATTTTTGTGATTGTTCTCGAATTTTAACTAACATTTCAAAATTAATATGATCATTAATAGGTCTATGTACAAAGAAATTTTCTTTTTTTAATTGAACAAATATTTTCCTATAAATCTTCTCATAAAATATAACATAATTTATCCATAAAATAAACATTAAGATTAATATTAATATACAATTAAAAAAATAATTAAATGTATAACTAGTTAATGTTGGTGTATTGCTAATCATCAGAATCTAAAAAGAGAGAAATTAAATAAATGGAAATATTATATTATACATACTAAAAGATCAATACTTGTTAAACAGAATTGATCACCCCATAAATAAGTTATACGAAAATGATAGAGACCTTCATCCTTAAAAAGACAAAATTTAAATTCTGTTTTTTTTTTATTCTCTTACCATAAATTTTATTTTAAGATTTGGTCCAAGAAAAAGAAAATTTCCATATGATAATGAACTATTTAATAATTGAAATACATGAATTTCATTGTCTGTTAAATGAATCAAATTTTTCAAGAATAATTCAAGAATATTTTCCTTCATTTCATTTGTCCATGAATTATCTTAACGGAAAAAAACATACAAAAAATAAAAAAGACCCAAATTTTTATTTTACTAATTAATTCATAATCATTACGTTTCGATAGTTCTTCAATTAAAAAAATACTCTTATCATTCGGTAAATAAAGACGATCTTTTCCTATCCATAATTCCACATAAACACGATTATTGACTGTTGAATTAATTATATAAAACTTCAAAAAACAAATATTTGAAAATAAAGTATCATAGACACGTCCAGTGTTTTATCTCAGTGGCGGATTTAGGGGGGCGATCGCCCCCTCCCGTTCCGAATTTTTTACAGCAAAAATAGGTTCACACTACTTCAATTGTACTCAAAAAATAGCTTTTAGCCTAAATCGCCCCCTCTCCGGGTATCGTTCCTCCATACGCAAAACAAAAACCCTCCTTTCAAAGTCCTAGATCCGCCACTGTTTTATCTAGGTTTGGTTTTTCGGATGGGTGGCGCCCACCCGCTAGATAAAACACTGGACATATTGAAGTTTCTTACTCGTTGTGCACAATGTATTATTGATTGATAAGATATTAAAGATGAAATACAAGTACAATTTTTAAATCCACCACATATTGAATACTAAAAATTTTTATATGTTTGAATTAATTTTTAGAATTTATGAAAAACTTTTTCATGATCTAGATTATAAACAATCACTGAATTAAAACCAGCTTGATACCGATTTAATTGAAAATTTATCTGAATTGATAATTATAGAAAAAAACGATATTTTCGAAATTTATTTACAGGTGGTTCAATTGGAATTAGTTTTGATAAATCAGAATCAATTTCAAATTCAGGTTGAATGAGTGTATCTAGTAAACATTTTGTTATAAAAGTTGTCGTTCTTACATAAGGTAAATAACAAGATAATTGACTATGCATAAATTCTTGATAAATTATTGATTTTTTCTATTGAGAAAAGAAAAAATAAGAATAATGCACTTTAAATTGTTTAAATTAACAACGAACATTATTAAATAATGAAGCAATTAAATATAGATTATTATCAATTGAATTTTTATGGAATATATAATCATTCTGAATTAAAAAATGGAAATTTTTTGTGACTGCAAAAAAAAACAATTTCGAAGTTATCTCTCGAAGTTTTAATTTTGACAAACCGAGATTATCACCATTAGAAATTGGATAAATTGTTGAGGGTGGAATGTAGATTAATGGTGAATGATGATTTTGACCAAGATTTTGTAATAAACATTTGTCTAATACTTGTTCAACCTTCTAAAAATCAGAGAGATTAATCTTATTCTATGTAATTAAATTAACCAAACTTGTATATGAATTATATTCCATTGATCAACATATGTACTATTGAATAAAACATCTTGAAAAATTCGTCCCGATGCAAATGTATTATTTATAATAGAATCAATAAAAATGTTTGGGTATTTCGATGTAATTATTGTCGAATTTTGATCTTCATTAGTGAATGTACATTTCGACAGTTGTAAATGAATTTTTTTAGAATTTTGTAAAGAATGAAATTTTAATTCACATTGTCGTGATGTTTTAAGTGGACTAGAGTTTAAACGAGACGTTTGTAAACAAAAAGGAAATTCTATAGATGATATATCCTTATTTATAACGAAAAATAGTCCAAGTTTACTAAAAGAAAATCAGTGAATTATTGTAAAATTCTAAATGTAAATTCTTTACTCAAATTGAAGTGTTGAACCGATTAATTCAAATCGATTATCCCATGATGATAATGAACAAAAAACAAATATTCGATCCATATCAATTTCGCGTACAAAAAATGGGCCCGGAATATTATTCACTAAAAGCTAAGATTAATGATTATTAGTATTTTTAATAGAATAATTGCACGAATATTTTACATAAGATGTTGCAACGAGTGATTGTTCAGTTGCTTGTATAATTAATAATGGTGGTGACGCATTGAAATAAAGACTACCACTATAGTCAAAAAAGAATGGTTCATCCATTTGAACAGATGATCGAAAAAATCGAGTACGCCATCCATAGAAAAGACCTAGATTGAAATAAATGATTACTTTTTAGTAGAGATTCTTAGAAAATACAATAGAAAAATTTCAATGGTTTTTTTTCTGATGCTAACAGAACATTATTCTATTGAGACTTTTAGAAATGCACTCTTTGCGTAAACCTAACGCTGATTTTCACCTCATCTACTCATTATTTTATCTAGAGGGTAGACGACGCTCACCCGGATAAAACAATGCTACAGTCTTCAATTTAATCACCTGCTTTTGAAAAAACAGCAAAATAATAATAATATGAAGGATGATTTTTCAATTCATAGATAAAAGCAATATGACCAGTATCAGAAAACACAATAGGATTCAGAATGATTAAATCAGTAAAAGATAAATCATTAGTCCATATACGAATAAGTTTAGTACCATAATCATTCGATGCATAAATCTTAATCATAAAAATTCATTTCTTTTATAAAATATCAATTGATTTACATTTTGTTTTCCAATTAGATAAAGCATATTCGATAATATATTAAAATAAAGTTGAAAATATATCAATGAAGACACATTTTTTTCAATAATTACATCCGGACAATATAGTTGATTATGCAATTCAATTGTTTTATTTAATTTATATTCATATATTCGTAATACAAGTTTACATAATATTTCATCACATAAATACTAAAGAAATTTATATTATACAACTTCATATATTTTTAGTTTTACCAATTCAAAGATAGCTAATTGTTTATACGGAATGAATAAAACATCGATAAAATGAAAATCTATTATATATTTCTTCCATTGATGAAATGGATAGAGTGAATAATAGAAAAACTTTTGTTGTATTCCATATGGATGTTGAATAATCATTATATCGTTTACTATAGAAAATAAGAATAAAGAAATCGAAATATCTACTGAAATTTTACTATCTGGTATTTGATTAATATTCATTGCATGTGTTATAGTTGACCAAAAACGATTTGTTTGATTCTAGAAATAAAATTCAGACAAGATGTTTAATAATACATTCAATAGAAATCAACCGAAGGAAAAAGTAAGCAAATAAAATTTCCATCGAGTACTTCCCAAGATTGAGAGACAAGTAGTCTGTAATTTGTTACAATAATATCATGTCTTGAATGCGGAGATAAAATTTTTATTTCGGGACAAACTGTAACTGTAGTACATAAATTACAACATAGAGCAAAATCTTTTGATGAATTTGGATAAGAACAATGATTGTCTTGTTTTTCTGAAGATAAGATAATTTTTATATGAGAAATATGGAATGATTACTTTGAATAAAAAGATTAATTTGTTGATTAAATAATGTTGATTGTATGTTAAGTAATAATTTTGAATTGAAAGATGAATCTATAAATTTAAATAATTAATAAATTATGTCAATGAATAAAATACCTAATTTATTATTAATAAGAGAAAGATTCAAATTCCAAGAGATATTATGGTTTTTATTTGATTCGTCATTGGCTTTAAAGATATATGAGCCTGATTGAAGAATTAAAGGTTGCTGATTGATTTGTTGATACCATAATTCTGTTAATAAAGGAGATGTATGTTTATTATCAAGACCAATCGAAGCATGAATTGTCTATCAAAAATTCATTTCGATATTTTATTTCAATTTATATATGTATATAGAAGGTATTACGATTAATGGATTTGATAATGTAACGATATAATTAGATTGATCAGTAATTAATCGATAATTACCTAGAATACAACTGTTACTACAAAAAAAAATAGTCTGTACACACGTCTTTTGCATGATAAATCAGATGGATTTAGAATATGAGATGATTCTATAAGTTTAATAACTATCCACAAAAGACAGAGAATCATAATTAATGTTTCTATAAAGGCGCCTAGTAATAAATGCAATGCATCAGAAGATGTCTTTAGGATTAACATTACTCTTTTTAAAACATCAGTTACGATTTAGAATATTTGTATTCTATTTGCTTATAGTAAGTAGACTATTTTCATTCGTTTCATGTCTACATCAAATCTTCGAGATAATATTCATAAATAACGATTGTCATTCATCTATTCATCTAATGACTCCATTGTCAAGTTTGGATTATTATCTTCAATGATAGACAACTTCCTTCGTTATTACGTAAGCGTTTAATTGTATGAAAAAAAATTATCAAATCTCTTTTTAGTATGTGTAATTGGGATTAATTGAAGATATTCATTTTATAAAATTAGATTTACAATAAAAATTGTTTTTTTTTGGCAAGACTATGTTCACTAATAAAATTTTTAATCAATAAGGAAATATATATAGGAAGATAGCCCTTCTTCACATCTTTCACAGCGTGCATTCCAGATTTCTTCTTCTAAACACACGGTCGATACGTTTATATATTCCTTTTTGTTAGAAAGAGCACGTCACAACGTTTTTTTTCTGAATATATGTACAGATACTTATATAATTAGCTCATTTTCTTAGTCACTGAATTTATGATATCGTTTTTATACTTAACAAGTAAGATTTTCAGTGGAATACGACGTAAAATATTTCTGTAGTCCTTAGCAAGATTTTTTTTGATGCGTGAAAGTTGTCATTCTGTATAACGATATTCTTGATAATGGAACTGTCGAGATCGAACTGATACCTTTTATTTTCTGATCCTTCCTACGAGTATTAGTTCGTTTAAAGGAAGTGTGGCAAAAACACGATTTTGATTATGAATTTTTTTTTAATATTTCGAGATATTTAAAACGAAAAGAAGAAGCAAAAGTTAGGTTCCACTTTCTCCTGACAAATATTTTACAGTTGAAAGTACAGCTAATGATAGATAATAATTCATCAGCGTTCTTTCAACATATGCTTGTTTAAATTCTCAATTTCGATACGCTAATCTGTTAAATCAGTGTCTGTTGTATTTCGACAGTATATAAATTTGACTAGATTCTAGGATAATTGTAAATATTGAGAAATCTGTGAAAGCCTTAAAACCATCATTTAGATATCGAGCCTCGCATTTAATTAAAGAAAGCGCTTTGACAGTCATTGCATCATGATATATTCTTTCAGACAAAAAATGAAATCAAAGACTAAAATTTAATCAGACAATAAATAATATAAATGAGCAATAAAACAATTCAGATAAACAGTAATCAAATTTAGCGATAATAGAATTGACTTAGCAATAAATATAACAATTCAGCAATAATTTATTGAAATTAAAGATAAATATTACATAGCAAGGGCAATACCCAAGCACATAACGTTTTGCAAAAATGCGTGTAAACACTCTGTAACTGAAATTTCGAATGTTTTTTTTTCATAAATTTATTCCGTAACTGATGACAAAGATTTTACCGTGTAAACAGTGAAATAAGAAGAATTATGATGGTTTTTTTTATAAATTTATTCCATAACTAATGGTAAAAATTTTACCATGTAAACGATGAAATAGGAAGAATGATAAATGTTTTCATACAATAAATTTTGCATTTGCGAATTTCACAAAAAATATTGTCGTTTTACACTTGCGATATAATGAATTCATATTTAACAAGACGCATCTAAACTTATCCGATCATTAATATTCGAGCGTTTTAACGGGTAAGAGAAACTTGCATTGTTAACTGAGCAGTATGATGATTTAAACTCACATATTTTTGAATATCTATCTTTTTTCAATCGTATAAAAGCGTAAAATACTTATTTTCTCCGCGACTTCACGCTGTAATTTTGGATGTATATTCAAAATTTATTATTTATGAGTACTTTAGGAATATTTTTTTATCTAACAAAATAATGATCTATATATACTTCATATCAAATACAAAAAGTTTACTTCAGTCTAGAAAAAGAAAATCAGTACAGCATATTTTTTCAATGAAATAAATATGTCCGCATGTTTACAACAAATAGTGTATGGGTGTGATTGTGAGTGTCGACTGAAAAAAACATACCTTCACCCATGCTCTCACTGTTGGAAACATATAAGGTTTGCACGTCTCTTTTTTTTAGGTGTGCGCTATATAATCGGTGTTTCCGATAGTGAAATAAAAACTCTTTTGAAATATGAATGAAAAGCCGTTTAAATTATTCCAATGTGTTGAAGTGAACAACTTATTGCTGCGTTGAAATGAGACGTTTTCATGTTCAAGTTTTAGAAGTGTTTTTGGCTTATAATCGAGGTTCTGAACCGTGAGTAAAAACCATATCGAAAATATAGACGAGTAAACGCAATTGATTTTTGATGCGTTTGTACTGTAAAATGTCAATCTGGTGCCCGTCTCAAATACCTTCTTGCAAAAAATTTCTGCGTGTTTTGACATCCCTTTTCAATGCGTTTGACGATAGTGATCGGAGACCGCGATTAGCTTCCGAAAACGGTCTATATATTTTTAACGTTTTTGAACTTTTTGTTTGCTTGGGTATAAATCTATTTTTTTTGTCTTTCTTTTTTTCTATACTACATAGTACAGATTACAGGGAAAAGACCATATGTAAAGAGAACAGAAAGAGAAGACATATGTGAAATGAAGAGGATGATTTGAACGAATCTCTAATATGTGTATATAATCTCCTTTACTTTCTTGCATCGCTTAGTTTTGTCTAACCGTTCTCATCTCTTTATATTTTTCTGGAATTTCTCTTTCCTATTTTTTGTTAATTTCCAAGTAATTTTAGATTTATCTCCCTCATTTATTCACTATATAAATATCCTCATCATTTGTAAAATAAAAGAAAAATTTATGTTTTATCAGTGAGATCGATTTACCCATTAACAAATATACCATTTACACAGATGGTTCAATTGAAACGCGTATCACAGTATATTTCTGGGTAGGTGTAATTATGAGATGAATATAGTATCGAGATGAGAATTTTAGTGGAGCCTCAATATGTTTTGAAGTTTTCAATCAATTTAAATGAATGAGATAGATCAATGCATTTCTGTCTCTCCCATATCTACTTCATATATATAAAATTAGATCTAATTTTGAGCTTAAGAATTAATCATTTATGTACAATCAATAATAGTTGAAAAAACGTAAATATTGTCATCTATTTAATTACAAGAAACAATAAACTATTTTGATATTTATGATTGACTAATTTAAACATTCATCTATGGAAACTAGAAGGTTAAAAATTAGAAACCTCATTACTAATTAGTTTTCTCTGAAATGTACAATACTGATTTGTGTACAGAATATTGAAAGAATTGTACTCAATAAACTAAAAAGACGTCTGATCAAATGTAAATAATAAAAATATTTTCCTACTCCGTTTGTTCTTGATATATTTACATACCATTCTTTCTTTATTATTTATTTAAATTCTTAAAATCAATTAAAAATTGATCCATCATAATGATACCGAATAGTTTATTCCGGCCATTTTTTTTCTTAATATATTTTATACAGGAATATGACGGATACTAGTAATTATATAAATCAATAGAATATATTGTGCCATGAATTTTTTATTAGTAAAGTACATGTTAAGATATTTTTCGTCGTCGTTTCTCAATGTTAAAATGCATGCAACAATAAAAATAATAAAATTGACAGTTTTTTTTCAGTTTGCGTCTTGTTTGTGGTTGACACTTTACAAAAATAGCATTTTATTTAATAAAAAGAACAAGAAAAAAGCACATCGTTTCTTTACAGCATGTTGTCATAACGATGAGAAAAAAGCTCAATGTGTTCTTTTCATATTGTTCGTTTACTTTTCTTGTTGATGTTTAATCTAAAATAAAAATTTTGTCGATTCTTCTAAGTGAAGTTTTTTCTTCTGCGTATTCATATACATACTCTCATTAAAACAGTAATATTCCGCCGGTTACTATATTGTTTTCATGGCAAGATCTCGCTTCACATTTTTTTTTCTTTTCTTTCTCTCTTTCTCCTTCTTCTTATTCTCCTTTTTAGCTAATGGCATTCATTCTGCTTCATCAACAACCTGTGTCCAACGCGCATGTTGAATTACATATAGGCATAAGACTTATTAGAAGTATGTCTCATTCATAGAAATCAATAAGAAGAATTCCATAAAATACGATAATGATTAATCCAATAGCATCGGCAAATCAATCGGTAAATATATAAAAATAATCTTTCCTTTTTTATTTAATATTCACTAAATGATAAATAAATAAATATGAATATATAGTTTTCACTAGAAAACGTTTCATCTTTTTTTTCTATTATTGAATAAGATATTAAAAAAAAGAAATTTTCTCTCGAGACATTTTTCCACTCAATAAGACAAAGAAGAAAATATTTCTTTTCTCTAGAGAATAATTTTTATTATTTTTCTAGGCTACATCAACTCGTATGAAAAAGACATTTATTATACTATGCATTTTATTATGTATTATTTCGTATATACTTTATTCACGTCAAACAGTAAATTGGGCGTTGTTACCCACAATTATATCAAGTAGTTTATCTGTTTCACAAATATCAAATAATTCGTTATCTAATAAAATCATAACTAAAACAGCTAAACCTAATCGAATAAAAAAACCATTACTTCCACCATCTCAAAATCGTCGTTTTGCTATATTTGGTTGTTCAATTCATGCATCGATACATGCATATACATTTTATACACCAATAACAGCACTTAGTTGGAATCGTGTTGGTTATGAAGCAATTGTTGTTTTTGTTGGAGATTTTAAAAAACCAAATGTTCTTACAAAACGATTAAATTTATCACGAAATTATTTAAAAAGCGTTGGTGCGCATATTGTTGATTTTCAATGTAATGAATCGTATTCAATTAAATTATCTCAAGTAGTACGAGTTTTTGCAGGATTTTTACCAGACGATATTGTTGAAGATGAAGATAATATTTTAACAGGGGATAGTGATTTAATGCCACTTAGAATTAGTGAATATACTCCAACATCTGGAACAGATGGTTTTGTTTTTAATGCGCATTGCTGTGGAACATTTCAACGACGAGGAAAAAATTATAAAATGTATCCAAGTAAGTTGAAGATTGCTGTCACTTGAGAAGATGATTCATTTGACACTATATAATTTCATATGTGACTATTTTGAAATCTATAATTATATTCATAATTATTCACCGGTATGTCTGAGAGAAATAAATTGATATTTATTTTGTTAATAATTTCAAATCCTTTTTACATAATGAAAGAGTTTCTCCTACTTATAATACTTTTCTTGCCGAAAATATACCATGTTTCTATCAGGATGTACAACCACAAAATTCATTTATCTATAAACTTTCGACCAAATTAGTAGTGAAACAAAAAGAAATTATCTGAGTGGATAGAACAGATTTCAACTCGAGTTTAAATTAAAAATAAAAGCAAAGTAGAATTAATCACTGTCATTGTTACTTGAGAATATACTCACTGCTGGTTTAAATAAACAACAGAATGAATTTTATATTTTCGAAACTGTTCTTAGGTTTATATACATAGAATCCTTTGAAATATTTAAAAAACACAATTAAGATTCAGATTCTTTTAAATATAATGAAATAAATATAATGTTGTTTATCTTTTAGTGGGTCATATATTTTTACAAAAGAAAACATGGCGTGCAATGGTTATGGAATCTCAACAACGTGCTGAACTTCTTGCTAAAGCCGATAATCGTACACAAGAATTATTGAGTGCAGATGCTCCACTCTCATTTGAAACTATAACATTATATGGTAGACTTGAATTCAAAGATGTTTATGATCAACGTATGGATAAAGGTGATGCAGCATGGTATATGGATCAAATTTTGTGCTCAATGTTAATACATGATTATAAACAGAAACATCAAAATTTTTCACTCAGTGAACGCGGTCGTGGTGAACGTCTCGATCGTGTATATGGAATGGGATATTGGGATCGACCAAATTATAATCAATTTGGTGATGCGCATTTAAAACATGATGAAATTTTAGAAGCAGGTAATTGGAAAATATTTACTAAATTACTTAAAAGTTTATTTAATGATACTATGGTAACATTATTTGATGATTATTATAAACAATATATGGTTGTTAGCAAACTTCCTTGATGATAAGAACGTGATTAAAAAATCTAGTACCATTTTTTGTTTTGTTTTTTTATTTTCATGTGATAATATCTTTTTCAATTCATTTATTTATTTATTTATTTTATTGTTTTGTTTTTTGGCTACCGTTGTGATTTTTTGCAGACATTATTTTGTCAGATTCAATAAAAAATCCCGCTTGATCTTGAAGAATATTAATAAGAAAATAGATTTGAATTTTAAAAAAAATACATTGGAATATAAAACTCGACTTTCGTATTATATATTCTATATTTCATCAGTAAGTCGCGTTATCATATAAAGTATGTATATCACTATTTTTATAAAATTGATATTTTCAGTCAAAAATCCATTAAGAAAATTATTCGATGTCTATATTTATGATAATTATACGCATGGATTTTGCTATAAATATTCATAAATTTTAAAGAATTTGTTATTAAACGAGCTAATTATAGTTTATTGGAATACTCTTCCTGCTAGGCAAACATAAAATAATAGTTTATATGCAACTATATCACGTTTTCACTAATTGATATTTGATCCAATAGCGATACTCTAGCATGTTCTCCACTATTAACTATTCATTGAATAAGATCTTAACAATCCTTTGAGATTATACTCAGCATGCAATCTATTGTAATATTAGCAGCAAAATGTTGAAAGTCATTTTAATATAGAAATGTGTGAATAACTTCCCAATAGAATGAACTCAGCTTTTGGATTATCATTATCATGCAATCATAAATGTTTAACTATTCTAATAGTTTTGTTTATATACATTAATGATAATTGTAGATCTGAGAAAAATAAATTAACTTCGTAGTATATTGTTGATCATACTTGTTTCGTTTAGTAATTTCTTTTGAAGATATTATTGATCGTTACGGTAAAAGTTTCGATTATTTATAACAAGAATAACAAGATCATTAGTCATCATTGTACTTGCATAATTAAATTGAAAAGTATTTTATATGTAACTTGAAGTATCATTTACACCTTATAGTAATGCAATAGTTTAAAAAAAAGATCCGTCTTATTGCTTGAGAGCACATTTGAAAAAAATGACAATTGATCGATTATACTCTTTACAGAGTATTTTATCATAGGCTAAATCACCGCTTTTCATTGAAATAAATGTCTTAAAAACCAAACTAATTTATTTCTAGATGAAATGTTTTGTGAGTGTTAAATTTGATTTAATGTTTTGTGAATGACATGTCACTTATATTTTTTTCTAGAAGAATTTGCACAGCTTTGTCAAAATTCTATATGATTATTATATAAACAGCATTGACCTTCTGTAGAACAATACTTTGATGAATAATAAATTTTTATGTCATCTCATTGTTGAAATATATTTTATTAAGATTGGTCGACAATCTTTATGAATTCATTGAATGAAAGAATGTAAAGCTATAAATTATTGGGTATACAAATGGTGTCAAAATCTTAAACAAAAGTGAATAGTATATGATCAAAAAAAGACGCTGTTGCATCATTGAAATTAATTACTACTGTTTTTTTATATAACCTCATGATCATTAATATGTTTTACTGGTTTTAAATTTAGAACTCATCAGTATATCTTACATTAATTTCTTAGAACAATGACTAGACAATATTGTGTTAAATGCATGACTCCAAAAACTAATTTTTTTAAAATTTATCGGTCATAATAATCTCAATGCTGAAGGACATGATTCTATCAATTAGATAATTTATACTCAAAGTTAACCCTTAACGACCGACTTTCCCTTCCAGAGGACATTACAATGACGAATTTTAAAAAGATATAGTGACGCTCAAATTCAGCAACGAATAGTTTTCTAGGTTAGGATAATTTGATTGTCTATTGGCCAGCAAACAAAATCTTTTAAACTAACTCCTAAAAGAAATTTTTAAATTTTTAAAATTCAGATTTTTTCATGTTACCATTGTTTTTTGAAGATACAGTCTGTCGGTGGATCAGACGTATTTTTCTGTTTGTGACTCTAACCGATGAGCATTATCACTAGATATCTTATGAAACTAGCCTCTAAGTTTCAAAACGATTCGCTGGTGAGATATTGTGCTTGATAAAAAACATTATTTGGAAGAATCACTCGATCGTAACGGCATGGAACAATACATCAATGTATATATGAGATCTTTAGTTATTACCAATAAATAAAAAATAAATAAGAGCGTTATGGTTAGATTCGATGGTACGCTTTGTAACACATAAATCCATTGATTTACTTTTTATATATTCCTCCTTGAATACAGTCAAGAATGTTCTTTCAAAAAAGCCCTTGGCTTTTGATCTTCAGAAAAAGTTCCTCATATTAATTGTCCTCTGGATAAAATGTCCTTTCACTAAAAAGAAGTCGGCAATGCTAGTTTAAAATACTAATGATGAGGGTGTGGGTATGACTGTGGGTATAGGTGTTGTTGTGGGTGGGTGTGAGTATGCGTGTGAATATACAGTCCATCTTATATCCACACCCACACCCACACCCACGCACTCCTTGTCTCCTTAGCATTCCTACCCGCCCTCCCTAATCTCCTTAGCACCCCTTAGTCCTCGTAGTCCCTCTAGTTCCCTTAGCCCCCGTAGGACTGGAAGGGCAACGAGGGCAATAGCTGACTGAGGGTGATTCTATTTGATTCAAATCAAGTATTCGATTAGTAGGAAACGTAATGTTTCTTTGTCTATTCATTGTGAAAAATGTTGAATTTTTTTTGGTTCCTCCAATCCTAGCTCTAAATATACTGCGAAGGTCGATTTTTTTCCAAAATTCAATTTAAAATATAAAAGATCATAGACTTCACTTGCACTGAGTTTCATCTGTAGAATTTTGAGTGTTCTATGAGCTGAAAAATAATGAAAAGAAGTTTATTGATAAGATTTGATCTAACTTTTAATTCAAAAACAGATTGTACAAACAGTTCATGAAATTGAGAAAACTCACCCATTTTAATACTCTACTGTTTTCTAATTATCAATTATTTATTGTTTCAGTCTTTCATATCATATATATCTTGAAAAATCGATATCTTGGGAATAAAGTCGTGAGGGCACAAATCTTTTTTAGATTTTTCATCCTACATCAATGTCTACTTATCGCCAAAAGATGGAGTCTAAACAGCTTAATCACCTAAATATATTCTCTTGTCAGTTAAATGCAGTCACGGTTCTGATATAAATGATAGAATAAAATCCATTGACGTCAGAAGGAAATAAACTAATGTTTGGCTCCTATATTTACTATCAAAAATTTGCAGAGCCATATGGAAGCAGTTAGACTATCTAAATTCTATTTGCTCCTTTTTTTTTTGATAAAACATTAATGGCAATGAAAATTATCCTTTATGAAAAAACGGAAACGCAGAAAGCGTGATAAATTTATGTACACTTAGAAACAAATGTTAATCAGTTTTCTCGCAATAACGCACATAATAAAATAGATTTATCCAAAACAAGAGTAATAATCTAATTCATTTAGTTTTACTGATAAACAGTTGCCCATAAACATCATTTGGTTATAGCTTCGCTTTGCTTATTAGATTCTATCTAACTTTCACTTGTATAAACTAGTATATTTGACATTATGATAATTTTATTGTATATTGTGGGAATTTTTATTTTATCGTGTGAAGATGTTCGAAGTCAATTTCATTTATATTATATGGATCGAATGAGTAATACTGGTTTGTATTACGATTGCTTGCATTACAAAGCATCTGATACTGCGTTGATATACAATGAGAGAGAACTAGATATAAAAAAATGGTATCAAATCATTCCGTATTGTATACGTCCATTTTCAGAAGCCGAAGAACTTTACAATAAAATAATAGTAGGAAATGTTTCGTCTCAACTTACATTTGAAGAACTAAGGACAAAACAAGTAACTACATCTGATATGCTTTTATGGTCAGCTTCAATTGATCTTGTTGAACGTTATGATGACTATCTTAATTTACCATCGAATGTTTCATCAAGATTTCAAATGTTCTACAATTGCTCTTTGCCGTGGTTTGGAACATTTTGTCAATATACATTTAATATAAACGACTCATCGAATATATACCCACCATTTAATATAATTGTCAATAAGACATTTACTGAGAAAGTATTTTCTAATAACGTGTCGAATATAACATGCTACATAGACTTAAAATGTGATCGAGGACCACCACCAGCCTGTCTCGATTGGCGTGAAATTTGTGATGGGAAAGTTGATTGTATAGGAAGCGGTATGGATGAAATAAATTGTTTCGAACTCGAAATGAATGAATGCGAAGAAAATGAATTTCGTTGTCATGATGGATTGTGTATACCAGAAGAATTCGTCAACGAAGGTTTTTATTACTCTGATTGTCTGGATGGTACAGACGAAGATAAAAATATCATGATATCTGGTGTGTACTATGGTTACAATGATTGTCCTCGCAACCCAAGTTTTTGGTGCGAAGAAACTGACTATACTAGACATTCTCGAGTGCTGGTATGTGGTGATGGTCAAACTACTGATGAATCAATCCTGCATGTACCACCTTCTTCAACTCAACTGCAATGTAAAAATGAACGAGACATTACTATAAAAAAATCTCTCTTATCGTACACCGAACACTCCAATTTGTCTTACGATTGCTGGTTTTTCTTACATTGCGCTACAGTTTACTATAACGAGGGAAAGTGCGAAAAATATTCTGGCAGTAGTGATGACTTAGGTAGCGATATTAACGTTATGGACAAGTGCCCCACAAATTTGGTCATTTTTCCACAGCGACCTATTCTTCAAGGCCATGTACTACTGGTATATTTAACCAACAAAACAATCTTTTTTACCGATACAAACGTTTCTATGTATCCCGATTATATTTGTTATGATGTAAGAAAATGTCCTTTTCTTCCAGCTACTTCAGTTTTGAATATAAATGGTACAACCTGTCGATCCACCGAAGAGCTAAGTCTCAATAATTTTATTGATATTACTAATCTTTTTCAAACTTGT